AGTCTCGTTGGGTTTCTGGCAGCGATTCTCCAGCTCCATCTGGTAAATCTGTCTCCTGTGCTCGCTACCATAACGTCTTTCCACCGCACCCATTAATGCATCGTAATTGTTCCTTTCACTGTCAGGAATTGTCTGCAAGATTTCCGCTGCTGGTCCTTTTAATGCCACGAACAGAGCAGCGGATTTTTCCTCCATGCTCCAACGATTTGCTGTAGCTGTCTTCTCGAACTGGAGCTTAAAGACTTGGAAAGGAATCGTGCCGTCAAAGGATGGAGTCTTTACCTTGGGAGCACTTGTCGAAGTAGCTGGACGATTCATCTGCAAATCTAAGAAGCGACCTTCCAACTCTTCTACCTTTGCTTCGACTTTCTCCTGTCTCTCTTCAAGTTTGTCCTGTATTTGTGTAATTTTTTCATCCTGTGCTTCCAGCTGTGATGATATGCGTGCCTCCTGTGCCTGTAGCTGAGTTTCTAACCGGGATGACACCTGCGCTGATACCTCTGAAGATATACGTGTCTCCAACGCCTGTATCTGTGACGACAACTGTGATGACATCTGTGACGTGGCAGCCAATAACGGGTTCATGTCCATTGCTGTTGATGAACTTGGAGACTTTTGCTGTTCTTCAACCTTCCCGGATGTCTGCCGCATATCCTTCGACGTACAAGCGGCTCAATCCTTCTGTTCATCCTTTGGGGATGCATCGTCAAGTTTACCTTGGAAGTCGTATTTGTCCACGTCGATGCTTCCATATCCTCTCGCAGCCGTGATAGTAACTCCACTTTTCTTCTGGAGGTTGCTAAATTTCGCTTCTCCAACCTGTTCGAGTTCCTCAGTCTTTAAGTCCTGATTTTTTGCCATTTTCAAAAGATTATCCATCGGTATTTATTTAACAATCCCACTTCTGACACCAATTGTTACGATTACCCTCGAAACCTTGAGGGATTTCCCAAATATCCTACGGCTCGTATCGCTGGATTGTTAAATAAATGCTAACGATGACCAAATTTTAGTACAATTAACTTTATTGTACAACAACAATTTACAATACTTGTTAATACAGCAAACGCTTTACTAAACTTGTTAACACAATTAAACTTATAGCTTGCTTATTCGCAACTCACTTCTCTGCTCACTTTACTTGTAGCTTGCTGACTTGTAACTAACTCACTTCGCTGTGGCGGCGCCCTTATATACCTGCGCTCGTACTTATGGCAACTCTAGAACGTTCTGAAGTTTACCGCTCATTCTCTTTCTTTCGCTGTTCGCAGTGTTCATCCAACTTGACGTTTCTCTTTGTGGAACATTGTACGTCATTCCTCGAACATTCTGCCTATTTCTCGTTGTTCGCTTCGCGTTGCCGCAGTATTCGTCACAGTATGCAACTACAGCCGCACTTAACCTACTACCGAAGACTAGGGTTGCCAGATTTTGTATGCGCGAAATCAGTACGTTAAAGTTTTCTTTGCTAAAAAAGTTAGTACTTTTCAGTACATTTTATTCAAAGCAAAATTATGAATGTAAGTAACAAATAATACTCTAAAACGCCAGAATATAGTTCATAAAAAATTAAGGTGTCATTCATTTTAACATGAGTTTCCACATCACTATACACAAGAATGAATTTTGTTATATTTATGACATTTTTGAATCGAAATAATGAGATCATTTCCATATTGAGTGTTTAAATAATCAAATAATTCTATACATTTCATTTTAAAATACATACTTTCAATTTGAAGTTCACTTTAAACAAATTTTTATTACAAGCCGGTTTCTCTCTTTGCGCCAGGAAGCAAACTTTATACTTAAGATCCTCTCAGTTGCTTCGTTTGAGTGTGGTGTTAAAAACAATACAAAATTACATATTGTTTCAAACTCTGGAAAAGTACCACTATTTTATAGATATAAATCCTTATGGCTTAAATTAATCTTTTCAACAACACAAAAACTTTAAAAGACTAAGAATTCGCTAAAAAGAGTATCTAACTCTATGTCTTGTATGCAAAACTATTTTACAATGTCAGTAAATTGTGAAAAAAATTGTAAGTTATAGGCAAAAGTCATTCCAATACTCAAATTTCNCAATGTCAGTAAATTGTGAAAAAAATTGTAAGTTATAGGCAAAAGTCATTTCAATACTCAAATTTGTTGTTATTAAACTGAAAGTTATTTTCGAGATAACTAAAAAACGCGAGAAAAAGAGTACATCCATATTATCGCTCCATCATATTATAGCAACCGTTACGTAACGACCCGGCGATATGCCCATAAAACTATTGATCATTTTGTTGTATTAATTTCTTGGGTATATCAAACATTATCAGAAACATGTCAACCATAATTAATCGTGATTTCGTTTCTTCCAAAATCTGTTGCCCTTCCCCGGTGCAAAATGTGTTTGATGTTACACTCAACCCTATAAAAAGGCATGCTTTTGCCTTCTTTCCTTGTCCAGCTCACGCTTTTCATAATAGTGTGGTTTTAAACAACCACCTTATTTTCAGGGCAACCATCTCCCGTGACAAAGCCTCACAGAGTAGAAAATATGCTTTTTTTGCTTTACGAGACTGTGACATTTTAAGAAACGAACACACAATTTTCCCACCCTTTGCCTTCAATTTAGAATCGAGAAGAGAAACGGCCAATCAAAAGGCAACATTTATTGGTGGAAACTGATTCACCATAAGTTATTTTCTTCTTACTTTTTACAGTCCATTTTAAGGAAGTTCCAACGTTATGGCTGCGTTTCTTTATACATTCCGGATAATCCCATTTCACAGCCGGAATAAACAGAATGCGTTTGAAATACATACAGCATTTCATCAGGAACGTTCTAAAGAATAAATAAACAAAAAAGTTTATTCCAAACGTTCAGAATGAATAAAGAAATGCAGCCTATGTAAAAACCTTAAGAAAATACTAAAGTATTTTGTTTGAATTGAAAATTCAGTACAAATCAGTACAAATTTTGAAAAATCAGGACATTAGCGTACCGATTAAAGAAATTAATAAAATCAGTACAAGAGTTGAAAAATCAGTTCTGTACTGATAAAATCAGTACGTCTGGCAGCCGTAGTGAAGACGCTTACAATATTACCTACATTTGCAAATACATGTGCTTATTCATGAATGCATTTTTTTCACTTATGTGCCGCTACTAATCTATACATAGTCAGGGCTATCACGGAATCCATCGTAGAAAATCTACGAATTCGAATGCCTGCTACGAATACGAAAAAATTGCTATCACTGATTCCGAGTGAACTCGAAAATATCGTTGCCAGCTTCGAATGCTGATTCAAAATCAGCTAGTGCAAAGGAAACAATAGACCTTTATGTATGTACGCCATTTTGATCACGCTGCCCCAGCAGTCGTAATGGCCGAGTGAGCAAAGCACTAGACTGCCAATTGAGAGATCCGAGTTCGAGTCTGAGTCGTCGGCAGCGGAGCTTTTTTTTATTTCATTTTTGTTTTTTTTAAATAATTTTTTTTAGTTTAGATTATATTATTTTAAAGAGAAAACTATTTTTTTTAATTATTTTAGATTTGTCGTTTTTTAAATAAATTTATATGATATTAAAGTAATTAGATTTCTTTCCTAATAAATTGTTGTTAAACTATTATTTCCTCGCTTCAAAGAAAACATTCATTAAGTAGGGTCTAGCAGATGAATCTATGTATGTACATATTAGGGATGTTGCGAATGGGGAATTTTAGACATCCGCGGATGCGGATGTGTAAAACTAACATCCGCGGATGCGAATGCGAATGCGATTACGGATGTCAAATATTTTAAAGAAATAATTTTGGTGAGTACATAAGGGCATTTAGGTAAATAAGAAATGAAAAAGTTATTAATTTTTAATAATGTTATTTAATAGAAAGAGTAATTTTGCTGCCTTTTTGGGTTACAGCCTGTTTCCTAACGGGTCGTAAATCAAACCTGCGCCACTAAGTAATTGAGGCAACAAACTTGAAAGACTTCAAACTTGACAAAATTGTAAATTCTTTTCGATTGACGCTGCACCAGTTGAGAGTCAGTTATATTTCTTTTCTTATTGCGGTGCAACAATTCCTTTTTGGGAATTGCATCGGGGCTGCAAATGTCGGATGTATCCTCCTGACTTTCATCTTCACAATCTAACATCACGTAGAAAGATCGCTGTTTAAACACCGTTATGTTCCAATTTGGAGAACGTTTATCGATTTAAGTTATTGTAATTCATTTTTAATCCTGTCTTCTGTGACTGGTTTGAAAAATGGGCGCTTATAGCGAGGTTTTAATATGTGAATATGGCAAATAAATTCTTTTTTAGGAATGAAAATCTCGAAAAAAAATCTGTTTTGTAGTTTAAATTCTGTTTGTAGTTTAAAATCTTGTTATTTTGTTAAAAAGGTACCCCGTTTCTTATAATAATTTGAATTATGGAATCACGGACAATGAAGGCCTCAGATTTGCTTAGTTCCCGGGTGCCTTCTTGAAAAGGTTCGGCTGTAATGAATACCTTGTAATTAGTGGCTGCGTTTCTTTATACATTCCGGATAATCCCATTTCACAGCCGGAATAAACAGAATGCGTTTGAAATATACGTCAACATATCATCAGGAACGTTCTAAAGAATAAATAAACAGAAAAGTTTATTCCAAACGTTCAGAATGAATAAAGAAATTCAGCCAGTTTCTTTTATGAGTTAGATGAGCTCGGCATTTCCTTGTTGCAGGCAGTCACAATTAATTACTCACCGCTGTCGGTACCATAAGCCATCAAATCCGTCGTGTTGTTCCATTCCATGCAGTCAATCGGCCTTATCATAAGTTCATTTTCGCCCGAAGTCGTTCACTTTTCAATTTTCGCTTAATATACATTTCGGCCGAAAATTTTTCGCTTTCGAACATAATTTTCCCTTATCGGCAACACTAATTCCGAGCGAAAAAAGTAGCCATTTTAAAAAAATATTTTCACTATTAATTGAGAAGCGAAAAAAATTCTTATATCCAAAATGTAAGTAATTACTGTTTTGTATAAAATATATGTTTAACAAGGAACAATAACAAAAGCTGTATACGTGTACTCCAGGAGTAAAACAATCAATAAAATTCAAAGCGAAATACTATTAAGTAGAATGCAGGAAAAACCGGATATTGCTAGAGGATTCGTTAGGGAATATAAAGAAAATGTGGCTGAGTTTTGGAAACAGCTGACATTGGAACTGAACAGCTCGGGGCCTCCAATGAAAAACGAGTCGGAATGGAAAAAGGTAAAACATATACAGATGTTCTCAGGACATAATTTTAATACCCAAAATAGGCTTGAGGTGACCATAAGCGGTACGTAAGAAAAAAATCGTCATTTAATAGATGCATGGAGTGTGGAACAGGCGGAGGTCCCAACCGAACGCAAAAGTTTTCGCCTTCAGAAGAGGCTATAAATGAGCTGGTGGGAATGAAGGAAGCAGTGGAGGGTGTGCCAAATGGTAATTCATTTGGACTGCCTGAATGCCAAAATCGGTCAAGTGTTGCAGAAGATATTGAAATTGAAGTGGTTGCGGGATGTAGAGGGCCATCACTAATGGTGAAGAAAGGAGTCAAAGCCACGACGCAATAGGAATCAACTATCAACGAACTGGGAGAAGATATAGTAAAATGTCCACACAGGAAGTTGTTCAGAAAGAGTTAGAAACGCAAGCAGAACTATGTTCAAAGGTGCCAGAAGGCGTTTCAATTTTGAGCGAGAATGTGGAACAAATGCAAATTAATTTAAAAAAACTGCAACGGTCGTTAGAGCGGCTTAATAAGCAAAAATGCATGCAATTAGCAGAGATGAAGCGACATAACATGGCGATAGAAAGCTTGACAAAAGAAAGAAATGATGAAAAACTAGAAATAACGCGTGAACTGTTGCAAATAAAACGCCGAAAACTAGAGCTTTTGCGCTAACTGAAAAATGAAGATACATACACTGCCGGTAAAAAGTATTGGCACAGCAATATATGCAACAATTTTTATAGCAATATTTTTCCGCCAATTTTGCGAAAATTCAGCAAACTTTCATGCAAATTTTCAACTTTTTAATCAGTTTTTATGGAATTTTTTTGAGTATGCAGATTCGTAGCCCAATCAATTTTATTGCAATATAGTAGAAGTTGTAAGTAGCTATGAATTACAGTTGATTTTTGGCAATTTTTCACGCAGTCTCTTCCATACAAAAAAAAATGCAAAATACCTTCAACAAAAAAATTCCCAAAAATCAATGCGATTTTTGAGTGTCCCCGAACTTCCATTTTTTATACCAGAATTTAATGGGCTACAAAACTGCATACCAAAAAAATGAATTAAAAGTTTGAAAATTTGGTGGATTTGTCGAATTTTTATAATTTTTGTATACAGTTTGAAAGGCGGGTTTTTATGATGTTTGTTGTATACCAACCTAGGCCTTTATAAACAAATACTACACATAAAATAAACCAAAGAAATATAGCCAAAACTCTTCAAAGTAAGTAAAAGTGATTTTGGACATTTTCTTTTGTTGACGATGCTAGGCATTCTTTTCCATATAAAAAAATTGTCCAGCACACTTTACATGGGAAAAAATGTGGGACACCGTCAGCAAAACAAAAAAAATCTTAAAAATCAACGGTATTTTGTAGAGAATTGAAACTTGCACTTTGTTATAAAAAAATTTAATAGGCTACAAAACTGTATACCAACTATTTTTCTAAAAATTCTGAATTAAAAGTTTAAAAATTTGTGGATTTGTCGAATTTGTATAATTTTTGTATACAGTTTGAAAAGCGGATTTATATGATGTTTGTTGTATAACAACCTAGGCCTTTTTAAAAAAATATTAAACTTACAATATACTAAAGAAATATATCCAAAATCCTTAAAAGTACAACGAGTCTATTATTTCTGCCGTATGTACACTACCTACATATATAAATATCTACATTTTGTAATTTTTTTAATATCTATATTGAATGAATTTAAATTAAACCTTTATTATGAATTAATTCAGCCCATTAGTGCATAAGGTCCCTTTAAAGGGACGGTCAGCTTTTGCTCTCTTACTCTCCCATTTTGCAATACAGATCTCATGTAAGTTGATGGTATAGTTGTTGACATTACACCAAACCAGTTTTTGATTGATTGCAGTGCAGTAAACTTTAAATTGTGTGATTTTTTTGCGAAATATGGAACAACAACTAAAAAAAAATATCAGAACACGTGGGAGGTAAGTAAATGTGAATAACAAATAAATACAGGTGAAATTATTTAACAATTTTAAATGCAATTATCTTGAATTTATTGTAATAAACAAATTTAAGTTGTTGTGAGTGATAAAAATATTGTAATTTGTGAATAATACCGATATTTATCCAACGTCCCTTATAAGGGACGCTATGCAGACAGGACAGTTAACAATAATATTTTATTACAACAATAATATTTTATTACAGACTAACAGTAGCTGAAATACTGGAAGAGATCGAAGCTTTTGATGGTCAGTTGCAAGAACTTAACATTTTTGCAATCCCACCATTGGAGGAAAATGAGACCGACCAGGATTCGGACGGTAGTGATGACGAACACGAGGCGAACTTGGATCATCTCGGCCCGAAATTATTGACTGCGGAAGGCGAGATCCAAGACGAATTCGATGACTGGAGTGACAGTGACGATGAGCCACTGGCTAAATACAGAAAAACCGTCAGTTCGAGTGTGCGTGCGGGAAATGCCTTGCGTTGGCGAAAAGTGGACCCGGTGTACGACATTCAAACGGAATGCGAAACAATACCGCCGAGTGCCGAAGCTCAAGCCGCCAGTTCGCCTACTGATTTCTTTGAGCTATTTTTTTCTGAAGGCATTATAAATTTTTGTGTTGAGCAGACAAATTTATATGCTCTTCAGAAAAATGTTGACCTGAGAATGAGTATGGACGAGGCGAGAGTTTTTATTGGCGGTATTTTGATGTCGGGGTACGCAAAATACCCCAACAAACGTTTGTATTGGTCGGAGAAATCGGATTCGCCAAGATTGCTAGCGAACAGCATGAGGCTGAATCGATTTGAGAAAATTCTAAATAATTTCCATCTGAATGACAACACGCAAGCCCAGGGTACCGATCGGCTTTACAAAATTAGGCCACTAATTACTCACCTGAACGAGGCGTTTATAAAGCATGGTGGAATGGACGAGAATCTCTCCATTGATGAGAGCATGATACCGTATTATGGTAGGCACTATGCTAAACAATATATCCGTGGTAAGCCCATTCGATTTGGATTCAAAAACTGGGCTCTGAATTCCAGCGATGGATATATGCTTCAGTTCGATGTGTATATGGGCAAAAATGCAGAGAGCGTCCCACAAGGATATGGAGTAGGAGGTGACAAAGTGGTTGATCTCCTCACGAAAGCAAATGTACCACACCATAAGGGATTCAAGGTAAGAAATGAAATGTTCGTCATATGATATTACAATAATAATATAATTTACATTATAGCTTTTCATCGACAACTATTTTACGTCCGTGAAACTGTTGCGCAATTTGGCCAGTATGGGGATTTGTACATCTGGTACAATTAGAGACGGTCGCATAGAGAAGTGTCCTTTTCGTCCAATAGCCGCCATGAAAAAGGAGCAGCGAGGATCCAGCGATTTTCGTTTTACTGACGATGGCAAGATTCTCGTTGTAAGATGGAAAGATAATAATGTGGTGACCATTGGCTCCAACTTTGATACCAACGATATCGGGACGTGCAAGCGCTACGCGAGAGGGCAAGGTGCGATACAGATACCACAGCCGAAACTTCTTCAGCGCTATAATCAAGGCATGGGAGGCGTTGATAAAATTGACCAGATGGTGGCTGTGTACCGGTCTAGAATTAGACAGCGTAAGTGGTGGTGGCCCATATTTGCATATTTGTTGGACGCATCGATCGTAAACGCATGGATCCTTATGCGGAAAGTTCATCCGAACGACCCAAATTGTGGCACTCTTCTAATTTTACACAGGTACATAGCCAATTCGTATCTAGAGAGATACGGAATGCCGTCCTCAAGAGGATCGAGTAGAACCAGCATCAACCCTGATGCGCGCTACGATGGAAAAAACCATATGATTGAGTACTCGAATACGGATAAGAGATGTGCCTATTGCGGAAAGAAGTCTAAAGGCTCTGTTATGCATACTTGGCATTGCTTGAGAGTTGTCACATAAGGAATCTGTTAAATGAGCTTCGCGTGTAAGCGGTTACCCAACGCACAGCATTACATACGTAAAAGTCTGTTGGTTTTTGATTTCTACGTAAAAATGGTATAGCAGTGCACGCAATGCCAAGTATGCATAACAGAGCCTTAACTTTTTATGTACTAAGTGCGAGAAAGGGCTTCATCCGAAAGAATGCTTCAAGCAATATCACACTTCAAATGCCCATACTGCATAGTGTCCCTTATAAGGGACGGTCCCCAAAACCCCCAAAACACATTTTTTTAATAAATCGAATTAAAACTACTTTATTAGACTTATTTCAATGCATAATGATAAAAAAAAAGGTAAGTATAGCGCCAGGGAACTTTATGCACTAATGGGTTAGTTATTGACTGATTGTATTCATATTTTTGTACCTGATCGAAGCTAAAACCTATGAATTTTTACATACTAATTAACTTAAGCATCTTAATAAAAATTTAATTATAAATATATACACTTCTTTATTTTTTATGTTAGGTTATCAAAAAGAGTTGGTAATATCAGTACGAATACGATGGCCTGCAGCTAAGTATCCAGAGCTCGCTACGGTAGTTTGAGTATCTTCGAAAGTGTTCATCTCAATATCGGGTTCAAATATTTCAAGATTTAATGAATCAAAATTGCTTTTATAATGAATACAAATATTATGAAATGCTACACACACATTTATTATTTGTATAGCTTTTGCAGGAGCATAGTGCAATTCCCTTGCTGATAGCAAGCACCTCCACATATTTTTAAGAACACCATTTGTTCTTTCAATAACACTTCGGCATTGGGATTCATTAAATTTAGCGTTTCTGGCCATGGCTCCAGAGGATACCCAGCATCTCCTAAAACGAGGTTACAAAATCATAAACTCCTCATTGTATTCCTATCGAATGCAAGTAAATACCTAATAACTAGGGAACGGATTTTTAGGACCTAAAAACCTATAAAAAAGGCAAAATAAAATAATGAAATAGGCTGGAAAAGGCAAAATAAAATAGCAAAAAAGGCAGGAAAAGGCACTAGGTATTGCAAAAAAGGCAAAAAAAAATAGCGAAAAAGGCAGGAAAAGGCACTAGGACCCTATTAAGCTGGCATTTCAGGGTACTATTTTATATATATATATATAAGGAAAATTTGAAAGTTAGGGGGGGCTCGAGCACCCCCGTGCCCCTACCTGGCTACGCCCATGTGCCTGTTGGCATGTAATAAACATATTTACATCTACATAAATACTTATACATATGTGTAAATAAAATCTCGCCTTTAGAAGTGTTGCATTATTCGAGTTTATAACTGGTCTATTCAATTGGTCGAAGCAGGAAATGACGGAAGGGTAGAGGTTTAATTTATAAATGGATTTATAATAATATAATAGTATAGTGCTTGCAGTTTGCTAAGTGTTTGGCCGAGCTTCTCCTCCAGTTGGTGGCGTGCGCCTTGATGTTGTCACACAAAGGGGAGGGACAGCGAAAGAATTTTATGACAAGCTTTATCAAGGCAGAAATACACTCGGAGGTTTGCCATTGCAAAAGTTTAAATACTTAAAAACATTCTAAAAATATTTTTCTGAAATACATTTGTGTTTTTCTGAAATACATTTGCCTTTTTCTGAAATACATTTGGGTTTTTCTGAAATACATTTGACCTTTTCTGAAGTACACTTGGGTTTTTCTGAAATACATTTGTCTTTCCCGAAACACATTTGCCTTTTTCTGAAATACATTTAAGTTTTTTTGAAATACATTTGAGCTTTTCTGAAATACATTTGGGTTTTTCTGAAATACATTTGAGTTTTTCTGAAATACATTTGACCTTTTCTGAAATACATTTGCGTTTTATGAAATACATTTGAGGTTTTCTGAAATACATTTGCGTTTTTCTGAAATGCATTTGAGCTTTTCTGAAATACATTTGGGGTTTTCTGAAACACATTTTAAATTTTCTGAAATACATTTGCGTTTTTCTGAAATACATTTGTGTTTTTCTGAAATACTGTTGGAAAAGGTGTAGTTTCATTATATGAAAAATTTGTACTTTGAATCTTTGACTATTTTACCCTTTCGAGTTTCTAACTCATAAAACTTTAATCTGTATAGTTGTAGTAACATTGAACCACAATATGCATTTTGAAGTTTTCTGGCAGCATTTTCATTCGATTTTCGCGAAGAAAAGCCTTGAATATACTAAATGTGCGCTCGACGTAAGTTGATACAAGTCGAGCCCAATTTAAATATGGAACGTTTGAAACGTTCGTATTATCCACACCCCTTATTTTCTCCAAGCCTACGTTAGCTGAGAAAACGGCTTTGAATTTTTCCAACACCAATTTGGCAAGAGGTCCCTGCGGTTTTATAAGCCGCATGGGCATGTGTAAATTTTTTAAATCTTAAAAAAAAATTGTAAATGCTATAATCACTTTTTCAAAAGTAGAAAAGGCAGAAAAGGCAAAAAAGGCAAATATCTTAAAAAAGGCAAAAAAAGGCAACATCAAATGTGTATATATTGAATCAGGGATAGCTAAATCGGGGAAATTCTTAATCGAATATACTCTATCTCTTTAGCAGAAAAAAAGGCAATTTCCATAAAATCCGTTCCCTGCTAATAACCAAACGTTGTTTGAACTCTGTGAATAATGTTGCTCCATTTTTGATCTCAAGTCACTAACATTCCATATAAAGGAGTCGTGGCATGCTCCCGGGTGCGTAGCATCAACAAAGCGAATCCTCAGTTGATTATCGCAAACCTGCAAATAAAAACATGCAGATATATGTACCAGGGTTGTTGCGAGTATTCGCATTCGCAGTCGCGGAGCTTCCGCATTAATTTTAACATTCGCATTCGCTTTCGCATTCGCAAAAATCAATGCGGTTCTTTTGCGAATGCGAATATTAAAGGGACCGCAAATAACAGTTATTTTTTTTACGAGTTAAACTTGGCCAAATATTTTTTATTCCGAAATAAAAGTACTTTCCGGATAATAAACAAACCGCTTATCCCAATTAAACAAGTTTGTTATCCAATGGAAGAGGACTTAAATAGCTTTAAAACTGAAATGGCCAAAAGAGGAAAGCCACACATTGAAAAATATTTCAATAAAAAATGTTAATTAATTACCATAGAACAAACATTGGGTCAGGTATGTACTTACATGAATTTCTTTAGTATTAAGTTATAAAAAAATATAAATAGAGGTGGTGACCTTCATTCGTAATTTCTGTTTAAAAGCTATTTCAGTCTTCTTTCATATGATACCAAATTTGTTTAATTTGGATAAGGGGTTTCTTTATTATCCGGATAGGACGTTTATTTCGGAATATTATGCCAAATTTAACTCGGAAAAAAAACTGTTATTTTTGGTCCCTGGAATATTGTGCAAGTTCACAGACGTATAACCAGTCACAGAAGAGCGCATTAAAAATTAGTTACAAAAACTAAAATCGAAAAACGCTGATGACTTGACAAATTCCTAAACAACCAAAAGAATGAGAATTATTTCGAAAAAACGGTGTTTTACCAACGATTGTGCCATGATGCTAGATTGTGAAGATGAAAGTCAGGAGGATACATCCGCCATTTGCAGCCCCGATGAAATTCTCAAAAAGTAATTATTGCACCTCAATAAAAATAAATAAATATAACTGAAAGTCCTCTCAACTGGTTTGCCAAGTTTCAAGTTTTTCAAGTTTGTCGCCTATAGCGAGTAGTTATATAGTGGCGCAGGTGTGATTTACGACCCTTCAAAAAGTTTTTATTAAGTACAATGTTCCAATTTTTAAATTCAAGTACTAAAGAAACATTCAGTCTTATCATGAGTTTAATTTTCCCCGAACCGGTTCACTTTTCACTTTTGGTTTTCATGTACATATTTACTATGGGCGGAATACAAATTTTCCGGTGAATTTTTTTCGGGCAAAGCTCAGGATAGGGCAGATTATTAAAAATTATTAACCTTCCCATTTTTTATTTACTTAAATCACCTAATTTAACCACCTAAATTATTGCTTAAAAATACATGACATCCGCATTCGCATCCGCATCCGCGGATGTTAGCTTTTAAACATCCGCATCCGCATTTGCATCCGCGGATGTCTAAAATTCCACATTCGCAACATCCCTAATATATATGTGCATAATAATAATAATAGATTGGCGCTTACACATATGTTAGTGTTTGGCCGAGCTTCTCCTCCGCTTTGTGGCGTGCGCCTTGATGTTGTCACACACTCGGAGGTTTGCCATTGCCTGCCAAGGGGCGACCTCTGTTAAGAAAAAACCTTTTTCTATATTTTTTGCGGTGCTGCTGTGACCAGGGCTTGAACCCAGGCGTTGCGGAGTGGAAGCGCGCACTGCTTACCACTACACCACAGCGGCCGACATATGTACATATCGTCGTTTAAAGTACAAACCGCGTATCAACGAAATGCAAAACCACGTATCAAGATAATGAA